GTTTGTTTGTTTGTTTATTGTATATGAGTGTTTTGCCTGCATGTATGTAAGTGCACCCATGTCATGCAGTCCCCATGGAAGCCAGAAGGGGGCATCAGTAACCCTTGAACTGGAGCAAAGGACAGTCGTGAACCACTATGTGGGTACTAGGGACCAAATCCTGGTCCTCTAGAAAAGCAGTCAGTACTCTTACCACTGAACCATTTCTCCAGCCCTCCTTCTATACTTTCTTAGTTTCACCAGTACTCTCCTAATTTCCAAGTCCATCAGATAGTTGGCAATTGTAACTTATTTGACTCCCTTGCCTTCTCACTTTCTTATTAACAGTTACATCTACATGCCAGATATTATGCTGGAGCAGTGATTCTCAGTTGGAAGAACATTTTTGCTCCTCCCCATTTGACATTGGGTGGTGTCTGAAGATATTTTTGGCAGTCACAATTAGTGGACAGATACCAGGGATGCTGCTAAGCACCAACAATGCACAAGATAGCCCCTCAGAGCAAAGTATTATCAACCTAAATTGTCCACAGTGCCAAGACCTTAAGCGTATAATTGCATTTGATCTTCACAATAACCTTATGAAGTGGGGATGATGTATCCTCATTTTGCTGATGAAACAACTGATCTAGCATTATGAATTAGTTGGAGAGTGATTATTAAGTTAATAAATTCTTCAGGCTCTCAGCTTCTTTCTAAGACTAGTTCACTATCTGTTAGCACATCTATCAGAAGAATAAAGAAAGAAGAAATCCCAGCACAATTCAGAGTTATATAAGAAACCCTCATTTAAAAAGAAAAAATAATCCAAAGAGGAAAAATATGGAAATAATTATCTCAGAGGTAGGGAGCTGCTTGGAATCTCACTCATCTCTGCTTCCCTCACTCACACCCACAAGTCCTGGACAACCATGGTTTACCTACCTGCTGCTAGGAAAACCCGAAGACCTGAAACAGTACAATGTGAAAAAATAAATCATAAATCCATGCAATTGTGATTCCAGCATCAGGTCCAGAATTGATTTTCAGAATTGAGGATTTCCCTTCTTATAATTAGTCATTGATGCTCCCTGTACTGTTTTTAACTAGCTGTCAACCCTCTGAGCAGAATACAAAGCCCAACAACATGGAAACAAAAATCCCAAGGTCGTATGCTTTCCTTCTTACTTGACAAGTGAGATGAGACCATGATTTCATTACTCAGCTGCAGACTCCAGGAAAGAGAGATGCTGGCCCCTGCCTTGAAGGTGGCCCAGCTGTGAAAGGGAAGGTGTCCTGGCCCTGAGCCTGCCTCAAAGGGGGAATATCCTTGAACAATCATAAGCACTGTGTTTTTCCCAGAGCTTTTGGCAGCCACAATGCTATCTCCAGGCTAGCAGCTGCCCTCCTCCTAATAATGAGAAAATTATAATTATTACCAAAAATTATTATTATGTGTTAAAATATATTGACTGCAAACAATGTACCATGATAAAGAACATTTTTAAGTAGTTCTCTGAATTTATTCCAAGTTGGTCACCCCTTTCTAGCCATTTGTTCATTTTAACACTTGTTCCAGGCTGAAATGTTTCAAATGAAGGTGTAAAATGATAGCCATGATTAAGCCAATCCACTAATTCACAGAGAGCTGTAGATAATAAGATTGAGATCAAATCCTAACCAGTAAGCCAGCTTCTACTTCCATTAAGATCTGAAGCAAGAATTTTCATGGGGACCCACATATACCCTTATACCACCATGACCAAAATCAATACTGAATAAAAATTTTAATCCTCTGCATTGAAAAATATATATTGTAGGGGCTGGATAGATGACTCAGGTTAAGAGCTCTTACTACTCTTACAGAGGTCAGGAGTTCAGTTTCTAGCACCCACATCAGCTTACAACTGCCTGTAACTCCAGCTTCAGGGGATCCAATGCCCTCTCTGGCTTCAGTGGGCGCTCAATTCATGCACATATACAGACAGACACACACACACATGCACGCATGCACACATACACACACACGCACACACACACAGATACGAATACATATATGCATACAAATAAATAATTTTTTTTAATTTAAAGAAAGAAAAATATATGTCCTAACAGCTTTGAAGGCTAGGTTTGAGTTTAGGAATTCAACATAAAATGTGAGTATACCTCTATCTAGTTTAGATGCTATGTCATTTTCTCTCCCCACTTCAGCTGCACATTTTATCTGAATTCCAACAAATAGTTACCACAAGGATCTAGGAGCAAACAGGGTAGTCTACCTTCAGGCTGTCAGATCCAGACTGAAGGGCCCAACAAACTGGAAACAGATTCCAAACAATTGTATAAAGAATTTTGGGATCTTGGTTCTAGAAGTGTGGTCTATCTGGATGGGAGCAGGTACTCTTAGTGGATCTGCTTCTAGGCTCAAGAGGGTTTGGTCAGAAAAAAGATATCTTAACTCATCCAGATCTTAACTCATTATAACAAAATAGCACAGCCTAGAAAGATTATAAGCAACAACAGAATTGTATTTCTCATACTTCCGGAAGCTGCAAAGTCCATAGCCAAAGTACCAGCAAATCAGTTTCTGATTCATAGACAACAAGTTCTCATATGGTGAGAAGTGTTAACTAGTCTCTAAAGTCTCTATGTCAGAGCACTGATTCCAAGGGCTTCCCAAAGGTCCCCTACTTAAGACCATGACTTCTAAAGCCCTACCTCTTAATATCATCACTCTTCATGTTAAGACTTCAATAGACAGATTTGGTGGCAAATATTCAGACAATGGTAGAGGGCCAAAGTAGGCAAAGAAACTGGGGTAAAAGCCATTCTTACCTGGGTTTCAGGAATACACTGTAAGCTACAGACTTCAAGTTTCTAGCATATGGCCCCATGCACTCAGACCCTCTGCACACAAGCTTTGTCTTCAGGAATGAGGTCTTTGTGCTCCACAGATACATGGAAATCTGAGAGCTCAGAGTCCTATATGCAGGGCACAGCTGATGAACTCTGGTATCTTTGCTGCTCTGAGTCCAAACCTCCATCATGTGAGGACTGGCTTTCTCCAATGCGATGGTAGTATGACAGTTGTTTTGGCTTTCACATGTCAAAGGACAAGACTGAAAGAATCAGAAGACTGTAATGAACCACTGGACTTAAGATGTGTTACTCATTTTTTTGGGTTTCAATGTCTCTGCTTGAAAAGCGAGGGCACTGGGCTGGGTTAGAAGAGGTTGAAAACTGGTGGTCACTGGCCCATGGATTTTGGCAGGTAGTAGGGAACTTTAAAGAGCATAAACATTTTCAATTGATAACTAATCTTTTAAAATTAGGAACTTTCAAATAAAATTCCACACAAAGAATTTCCCTAAACATAAAAACCACTGTACCATACCCAAATACTTGATATTTTCTTCCATAATCTGATATCTCAACTCTACCGTACTTTACATAAAATATAAGAGAGAGAGAGTGGAAAATTGAAGAAATTCACAAGGGAAAAACAGAGTTGGGGAAAAGACAAATATAACCATAGGGATTGGAAAGAAGGAAACCAGGAAAGGAAGGGCTGGAGAGATGGCTCAGTGGGTAAGAACACCTGCTGCGCAAGCAAGAGAACCCAAGTTCAGACCCCAGCAACCATGCAAAAATATGGACATGGCCACATACACTGTGAGGGGTAGAGACAGAGGCTCTCTGGGCTTGCTGGCTCCTAGCCTAGCTCCAAGTTCAGTGACAGAGAGCCTGTCTCAACGAATCAAGGTGAAGAGTAATAGAACAGGAGACCCAATATCTCGTGGCCTCCAGAGGCATCACGTAGCCATGCACATCCACACATGTAAGACATTCACAATACACACAGACTTTTTTAGTGAAAGAAAACCAGAAAGAAAACTAAGATGAATATACTGATAAGAAAAAAAAAAAGTCAACATTGTACTTGCATAATTTGAGGTGCTAGGCATGGCTTCCAAAGTCCACCACACAAAATAGTTCTTTTGGAAGCCAAGCAGGGTGGCTCATGCTTTAGGGGTGTAAGGCAGTAGGATCACCTTGAGTTTGAAGCCAGCCTGGGCTACATCATAATGTTCCTAGCCATCTTGGGCTACAGACTGAGACCATGTCTCAAAAATAAATAAATAAATAAATAAATAAATAAATAACTAAATAAGTTAATCTTTGTGTGTGTGTGTGTGTGTGTGTGTGTGTGTGGAACTGGGGCTCAAACTCAGCACCTTAAACTCATATACTCTGCCACTGAGCTACAGTCCCAGCCTGTGAATTATTGCCAAAATGCCTGGTTTATAAGAAAAACCCCAAGAAATGGGCTCTATTATTTCTCTATTTTATAGAAGAGAAAAATAGGGCTCAGAGGTGAAATAATATGCCCAGGATCCCAGAGTTAGAAAACAGCCAGGCTGGAGTTCCCACAGTGCATCAGTTTCCGTGGCCCTTCCAGGGCCCAAACCAGCTCTCAAAGCTCACATTTCCTCCACTCTGCTTCACTTGGCTCCAGCCGTGCTGGCCTTTTTACTACTAGGCTCACATGCCAGCCCTTCACGGGGCACTCACTGCTCCTGCTGCCTGGACCACTCTCCTACCACGTGTCTATGTGAGCTGCTTCCTTATGACTCTGGCTTTGACTGAATTGCCAATATTTCCGTGAAGGTTTCATGCTGGCACCTGGTAGAAATTGCATTCAAATACATGCACACAATCCTCAGCCTCTTCCCAACTCCTTTCCCTGATTTCATTTTCTCCAAAATATATATTATCACCAAATAGACACTATCTTCGTTACTACCTGCCTTCCCCCTCTGGATACAGACTTAATGAGAGAAGTTTTTTAAAATTATTTTGTTCATAGCTGTATCTCAAGTTCTTACAGCAGTGCCCGGTATCTAGAAACTGTTTGATAAATATTTGTATACATTGTAGCATGTATTTCAGTTTGAAAAAGTCTGATTTTTTATCCCCATTGTTTTTTGTTTTGCTCAGAAACCCTTTGGGGTCACATTCCTCCCTCTGGGCTATGGTACCTTTGAGCCAGCTAAGCAGCCACATCAACTCCACCTGTGGGGCAGAGAATTCCACCGGTGCCAACAGGGCTCAACCACTGGCCTACTATGCGCTTTCCTACTGTGCCCTCATCCTAGCCATCGTCTTCGGCAACGGCTTGGTGTGTGCAGCTGTAATGAGGGAGCGTGCTCTGCAGACCACCACCAACTACCTAGTGGTGAGCCTGGCTGTGGCAGACCTGCTGGTAGCCACCTTGGTGATGCCCTGGGTAGTGTATCTGGAGGTGAGTAGACTCTCCATGCATGCCGCTCCTGAGCCAGTGTTGTTTTCTGAGCTCGGAACTTTCAAGACTCAGAATACTCTGTAGTGCTTAGGGAACTGCAGAAGGAAGAACTAGAGGCCCTCTCCCTTTAGAGAAAGAGCTGACACTGGAGGGCAGCCACCATCCCCCCACATCAGAATCAGGGGCCTGGGAATGATTCTGTGCCTGTGGGTCAGGTATCCTGGTGTCTAGACTTGAATGATGGGTCTCTTCCCAAGAATACTCTGCCTCAATGATGACCGGGCAGTCCAATAAGCATCTTCATCCAGGTTCAATATATCTGGAGGAAAGGAGTGTCCAGGGGTTGGGAGGAGCAAAGGAGGAGAAAAATATTACATGGATAAAAAATTTCTAATGAGGGGCTGGAGAGATGGCTCAGCAGTTAAAGCACTGGCTGCTCTTGCATAGGACCCAGGCTGGGTTCCCAGCACCTGCATGGTGGCAAACTGTCTGTAATTCCAGTTCCAGGGAAATCCAACAGCTTCTTATAACCTCTACGGGCACTGAACCACTCAGGTGCACTTACACATATGCAGGCAATACACTCATACACACAAAATAAAAATAACAAATAAAATATTTTTAAATGTTTCTAATAAATGAGAGAAACGATAGAATGGTCAGCAAATAGAGCACTCTTTTGACATTGCATCTGCCCTTCATCGTCAGCCTCCTGAGTGCCAGCTCTCCATGGATTCTGCTACCAAAGGAACAGTCTAAACCTTCAAATTTAGATTTTCCATGCCTCCATTAATAGTACAAAGCCCTCACCACTCAGCACATCCTGGAGAATGCATCTGGGGAGAAACAGTTCTTAAATTCGAAAGTATTTTCATCTGAAAGTGCAAAATAGAGTCAGGAGGTGATCAAGACAAAACATCTACTTGTTAACAAGGAAATCAGGGTGCCTGTATCTGCTCAAGAGACAGATACCCTTACCACGAAAACATGCAATTACTAAAGAGATTTTTTAAACACCTTAATATGCTATTAATATTTCTCCTCTGCACCAAGTGTCACTCTAAAGAGATATCCAATGGAAGCTCAAGATGATGCTATGATTAAGAGAAATTAAGATTCATCAAATTAATATTTCAGTTAATATTAATAGTGAAGGTGACAGTTAATTAAGTATGACATATCACAGGAGAGTAAAAGCCTTGAACATAGAGTGCCTGTGCTGGTACCCATTTTTCAAAATGGTTGGGTACTAAAATTAGACTTATGATTAAGGGGGGGGGGGACATAAGGAAATAAATAAATAAATATAGAAAGAAAGAAAAAGAAAAAAGAAAAACAACCAGGCTGATTGAGAAAGATCTAAAGGTTAAGGTAATAGTTGGAGGGAAGGCATGTATTAATTCTTCCAGTTAGAATACTCCTGACGGTGAAGGATCTTACAATTATCTTGACTTTTCTGTCAACTCTCTTGTGCTGACTCATTCTTGGTGTCAAAGGCTGTGTCTTTGTTCTTCTTTTCCTGTAATCCAAACGTGCTACCTGGTATAAGGCAGATGAACTATTTATTATTTTATATAATGAGAAAGGAGTTTGAAGCATGAAAAGTTTGTGTTTAAGAATGAGGGCCTTCAGGTACCACAATCCAATGACTTACAGCAGTGCCACCACCCTGCTAAAATGTTTCCGCTCTTCACTATAGACATTTCAAGGATGATTTAGGCCTCCAGGACAAATGCCAAAAGAAATGCAGACAAGGAAGTTTCACTCTAATAAGCATTTCCATCCCCCCCCCCCGAAATAAAACTAGGTTTTTTATGTCTGTAGTAAAATGATGTTGACCAAAGAGAGGTACTCTTGCCCATCCATTTGTGGCTGCTTGTAGGAGTCTGGTTGGAACATATTGAAAACTTCTGAAGATAATGGTTTTGGAAACAGACATTGTGGCTTTTCCACACTGGAAATCCATGGTGTCCCCTTCTAACCACAGCTGCCAATATCAGTGATATCCTCATTCTGCTGTTGAACATAAAAAGAGCAATGATGCTGGGCATGGTGGTGTGTGCTTTTAATCCCAGCATTTGGGAGGCAGAGGCAGGCGGATCTCTGTGAGTTCAAGGCCAGCCTGGTCTACAAAGTGAGTTCCAGGACAGCTGGAGCTACAGGGAGACCCTGTCTCAAAAAGACCAAAAAAAGAGCAACCGTGTTTAGAGACACATGAAATCTGGCCAAAGGCATTAATGAAATCTTTATAGTGTCTGGGTTGTTTCCCCATGAGAAAAGTTCTAAAGGAGCACTCCCTCCCTCCTCCAACACAAACAGCTATGAAAAAAACCAACAGGTTATATTGGGTAGTATTCAGTAAGCAAGAGCATTAGTAATGAAATCTACATTCATATAAATACTTAAAGGAGCAAAGACATCTTCCCATTGGGAAACAACTGGAAACTTCTTTTTGGTCCTACCAAAAGGCCTCAAGGCCTTAGTCAATGCAACTGAATACCTCAGAATCACTTTCTCCAATAGTCAAAGGTCTGTCTTGATGAAACATTGGATAAGACTTAAAGCAGCCATTATTCACAGACACTTAAAATATAAGATGGTTGTAGTTCACAGAACCAGGTCTATTACTTCAATCTTAATTAGTCTTAACTGGTTTTCTGTATTCTGATGTTCTGTATTCTGAGGTAGATGAGATACACATGTTCATGAGAGAAAAAAAAATCCCTTGTTAAAGAC